TCGCCTGGATCGACCCGGCCACCACGCAGCAGTATCGCCAGCAGTTGAACATTGCCACGAGGAGTTTTAAGGTGGAGGGAGGCGGTGGGCTGGTGTTTGATGCGAAGAACTCGGAAACGCCTTATTCAAGTTCTTTGCTCGATTCAGTGGCCATTTCTCGCGTGACGACCATCACCGTCGAGGGCTTTAATATGCTGAGGTAGGTGTTTTTTAAAATAAAAATAAAAACTTATTAAAAACTTTTTTCCCTTTTTTAGAAAAACAACTCAGCAGTGTTCTGAACCGTTGGCGTTGACGCTGGCGCTCAGCCCCGAGGAGGAGATCATGCGCTACTGCAGCCTCTGGCTGTGGGACTACCTGCGTCGGGTGGTGGCCGCCGGCAGCGGCATTCAAGGTTTCATTGTCCCGCTCAGCGGCGGCCTCGACTCTGCCTCCGTCGCCTGTATTGTCTTCTGTCTGGCGAAGCTCCTCCATGAGGCCGTTTATGGGAGAGGGGACAAGGCGGTGGCAAAGCAGTTGAAGCCCATTTTCGACTCGGAGGCGCACCCTGGGGCGACGCCCAACGACATTTGCGGACGCCTCCTCCGTTGCGTCTACCTCCAAAGTGCCTACAGCGGCGCGGACAGCCTCGATCGAGCAAGGTCGCTGGCCGCGCTGATTGGCGCCCAGTTTGAGTGCTACAACTTTGCCCACCTCTACGAGACGATCGTGAAGACGGCGCCAAGAGGTGTGAAGCCTATCGAAGCTGATAAGGGCGGCGTGACGCTGCAGCAGCAGAATGTTCAGGTGAGCTTTTTTGGAAGGTGTTTTTTGGGTGAATTGAAAAGTTGACTGTTTTTGCCTTTCTCCAGGCTCGCCTTCGCATGGTCCTCACCTACTACATGAGCGAGTGCAATCGGCTGGTGCTGGCGACGGGCAACGTCGATGAGGCCCTCGTCGGCTACCTCACCAAGTACGACTGCTCCTCTGCGGACCTAAACCCAATTGGCTCGATCAGCAAGACCGATCTGCGACGGTTTGTCGCATTCTCCGCCGGAATCATTGGTCCAAAGGCTTTGGAGGATGGTAATCCACTGCAACGCATTCTCGACGCGACGCCCAGCGCCGAACTGACCGGAGAGGAGCAGGCCGACGAGGAGGATCTGGGACTTAGCTATGAGGAGCTGAGCCTCTTTGGGCGCCTCCGGCGAGGGCAGTTTGGCACCTACGGCCCCTATGGCATGTTTGCGAAGCTCTGGGAGGACCGACGGGCGGAGTATNCAACCGCCACAAGCAGACCATTCTGACGCCGGCGCTGCACACGGAGACCTACTCGCCGGACGACAACCGCTTCGACCACCGCCAGTTTCTCTTCAACACGCGCTGGCCGTGGCAGTTCGGGCAGATTGACCGCCTGGTGCAGGCCATTGCTGAGGGAAAGGAGGAGTAGGAGGAGATGATGACTGTGTTCAACTGTGTTTTAAAGATTTCCCTACTAGATTTAAAAAAAGATCACTGTCCACTACAACCGAATTGCAAAAAAAACTGATAAATACTGACACGCTGATTTCGATTTCGAAATGGATTTNGAAGGAGGAGTAGGAGGAGATGATGACTGTGTTCAACTGTGTTTTTAAGATTTCCCTACTCGGATTTGAAAGATCACTGTTCACTACAACTGCAAAAAACTGATAAATGCCGAAACGCTGGTTTCGATTTTAAAATGGGTTTCGCGCACGATTACGTAGTCTAGGAATGGAGCTCTGCATTTTTTGNTTCGCGCACGATTACGTAGTCTAGGAATGGAGCTCTGCATTTTTTGTTTTTAGGGGAAAAAGGTAAACAAAAGAATAACGGTGTTTTTTTGGTAATTGCCAATTTCCTTCCCATTTTCTCCCCTTCTTGGTCGTCGTTGTCATCTCCGGTGGAGTTTTAATTTCCGCTGGTCGGTCATCAGGCTAACCGGGTAATTAATTAGTTTTCCCCTCAATTAATCTTTGTTAACATAGTGGGGGATTAATGACTGTACTTTTTGTTCTTTCTTTTTAGCAGCGTTTTCACACCAAGGACGAACTTTTGTTCTCTGGTTCGGATGCGTCTCTTCTGTCTCCTTCGAAAGCTTATCATCGAGGCAGAGTGCGACTGACGACGACGACGACAACTTGATGTGGTGATTTGAGACGTGCCCAGAGCACAGTCAGCCAGGCTTGGTGATACCAGAGCAGGACTGGTTGGCAGTGATTACAGCACATCATCATCATCATTATCCTCACCGCACAGCATTCTTCCCATCAGCAGCAGCATTGGGCATAATTGGTACATGATATCGTACAGAGCCATTGAAAGCAAGTTAGCGATCAGCCGGCACCAAAACCAACGACAGTATCGACTATAAAAAGCCGGCCGATTGACGGGTGCAAAACATTTCATCCAACTTCAGACCAGTTCTCTTTCTTTTCATCGTTTGTAACAAAAAGTTCAAGTTGACAATGGCCAACAAAAACAGCGAAGACTACAGCGTGCTTCGGTGGGGCGTCGCTGGGGCGGGCAAAATTAGCACCGACTTTGTCTGCGCCGTCAATGCGGACTCGCCTGACAAGCACAAGGTAAGAAAAACAGTTTCTGTTTCTAAAACGAATTTCTAACCCTGATATTCAAACCCTTCTTTGTTCAGTTTGTCGCCGTCGCCTCTCGCTCTCTGGAGACGGCCAGCAACTTTGCTTTTGCGCGGAAGATTCCCACCGCCTACGGCAGCTATCAGGAGCTGGCACAGGACACCAACGTGCAGATCGTCTACATTGGAAACCTCAACCCGGACCACTTCGAAACGGCGAAGCTCTTTCTGGAGCACGGCAAGCACGTACTGTTGGAGAAGCCGCTGACGATGAATGCGAAGCGTAAGATGACTACCAATAAACCGAACCTAAAAAACTGATCATTTTATTTACAAACACAGAAACGGCGGCCATCACCGAACTAGCCAGAGAAAAGAACCTTCTTCTAATGGAGGCTCTCTGGTCGCGCTTCTTGCCCGCCTACGTCTTTCTCGCCGAGCAGCTGAAGGCAAAAACGATCGGCGAGATCTACTCCGTGGAGGCGAGCTTCGGCTTCGCCAACCTCGATGCGGTGGCCCGCGTCTCTGAGAAGAAGCTCGGCGGCGGGACCATTCTCGACTTGGGCGTCTACACGCTGAACCTCATTCAGATGGCCTTCGGCAATGAGCAGCCGGAGAAGGTGGCCGCCGTGGGCGCGCTAAACTCTAGCGGCGTCGACGCCAGCGTCGCCGCGGCCCTTTCCTACACCGGCGGCCGCTCCGCAGTGATGCGCACCCATTCGGTGGTGGAGATGCCCAACACTGCGACGCTCATCGGCACGAAGGGCACCATCAGGCTGGAGAAGTACTTTCACTGCGCCCAGAAGGTGCTTCTAAACGGTCAGGAGCACGCCTTTCCCTACCCGGCCAACACCCCGGAGATGAACTTTCCCGACGGCCGAGGGCTGCGCTTTGAGGCGGACCACGTGCGGGAGCTGCTGGTGGCGGGGAAGCGGGAGTCACCGGTCATGCCCCACCGGGACTCGCTGACGCTGGCCCGTATCAGCGATGAGATCAGGCGGCAGATTGGGGTCGTCTTTCCCGCTGATCAGCAGTAGGAGATTTTAGAAGAAGAAGAAGAAGACACACCCAATCTCAATGCTAAAATGTGTGTGCTTGAGCAGAATGTTCTGATTCGAGATAAAGGCTGAATGAATGACTGACTGGCAGGAGGAAAAGAGAATGAAATTGAGAGTACAAAA